ATAATATTCACATTATTATAGATGTTAAAGTGTTATACATTTGTGTTTTACTAGTAGTGGAGTAATTTAATTAAATAGCTGAATTAATTCCTGCTACTTTAACTGTAAATTAGTCAAACTAGTGTCTTTTTCATTTTAATATTTGTAGTATCTAGCATTAAGACAAAACATATAGGTTGAAGTGAAATAAAATCTAGGTGTCCATGACAGTGTTTGTTCTAAGTTGAACAAACTTAGGGTGTAAAGGGTGTAAACAATTTCCACTTATCCATTCCTTCCCTTTTTTTCCTTGTCAAGTTATTTAAAAATAGCTATTATCCATTACTATCTCTTTCCTCTTAATAGAGAATAATATTGATATAAATAAATATTACCTCCCATATGCTGAGTGCTTACTATGTCCCAGGCACTATGCACATCCTTTTATGTATAGTATCTTATTCAATCATCTATATGACAATCTCACACAATCCTATGAGATAGGTATCTCTATTCCACAAAGGAACAAATTAAAGTTCAAAAAGCTAAGCAACTTGCCCTAGTCACACAGCTAGTAAGTGATAGAATGAGGATATGAGCTAAGGTCTTTCTGGATGCAAAGCCCCCCAGTATTAATTACTATAATTCTAACAGTGGTTTATTTAAAAACAAACAAAAGACATGCAGATTTTATATTTCAACTACTGAATTTAAAAATAAAGAGCCACAAAATTACTTTTTTAAAACCAAAATACATGCCTGCTTTAACAAAAACATACAATGTAATCATGTATTTGCAAATTTCTATCTGAATAAGTTGAAAAGATACTTAGAGGGAAGAAGCATTGGACACTGAGTAGATACACGTGTGGAGCAAATGTTAGCAAAGAACAAATATGTATTTATTATCTTTAAGGAAATTTATAAATTTGTAAGCAGTTGAAAAACTAAGCAAACTCTTTGTAGATGTGAAAGAACAAAATCTGATGGCTTATGTATTGGTTTTCTTTTACAAACATGAAACTGAAGTGCTTTAGGAGTAGACAGTCATTTCAAAATAACAACATGATTCCAGGTTACAAAACAGAAAACCATTTTACATCCTTTGATTTCTAGGACTGATCACAAATGGCAAATCTGAGATAACAAAAGTCAGAGTGGAAGGTACTACAGCCTGGTAACTTGGCCCTCCAAGTATTAAGATGTTTGATTTTGATTCGAGAAAACTCTTCTAATACTTAAGCTTTATCAGTCAAGACTGAAACGCTGGAGCATACAATGAAGAGGGTAATGTTCATTACAACCAGGTTTTAAAAAATCCTACCTAGAGAAAAGTATATATAAAACTACCCACAGATTAACACAAGATAAACACTAGGACTTAAAATGTACATTGAAAAATAAACAATAATAGCAATAATAGGTAATACTTACATGATGCTTACACTGTGCCTAGGATTATTCTAAAGTGCTTTTTAGATTCTATATATTTTATATATTAGCCAAAC